GGTCTGCTACTAATTTATGTTCTGTTCCATTTTTCTTTACCCAAACCCAAATGTTCAAGAAATAACAAGTTAAAGAACAGAAGAATGCTACAAATATCATAGGCTGTAAACCACTAATAATTTCCTGAATCTTGAATCCAAAACAGAGCAGTTTTTGTATATAATGGGAATATTTTGTCAGTAAATACAGAATATGAGATTCAAATAAGCATTTCAGATGCATCGACACATCAAACCTGTGAGGGTTGATTAATACAAACTTTTGACATTCGGATTGACATACATCTTAATGATTTGGCAGTTAGTAGTTTCCTGAGTCAATAAAGATGCAGGTTATATTTTTCGCCCTTTGCAAGAGGGCATGATTCTGACACAGCTCATTGAGGACCGCTTCAAGATTGGTAACCATTTGAACAACATAAGAAACTTCTCCATTTAACAACTGTAAAAGCTTCACTTGTCTCCCTCACTTGCTTAAGGAAAAAGTAGACAGTATTGGTCATAAGTGTTCACTACTAGTTAGGCACAGGTAATTTGGTTGAGATGCAGAAAAAAAGAAAAATCAATAGCAACAGCTAGTAAGCATACCACTATACAGGATCTTTCATGTCTCTAAGAACACTATGCTTTCATCCAACATATTGTTATATTTTCAAAATAAGAAAATAATTATACCATTTTTCTCACTTTTCCATTATATGACATCAGAAATGTATAATGGTCATCCAAGTTCCAAAATTAGTTATTTGACAATTCATTAGGGGAAAAAATTGTTGTCCTTAATTAGAAAAGTTTTGAAAGGATTTGTCCTTTCGAAATCTTCTCTAAGTTACTGTTGTATTTAGACAGATTTGTTATCTGGATATTATGAATTGATTATAAAGGTGATTATACAACCAGTTTACCAGTAAGTTTTATACTTTTTTTTTCCTGCTATTGCAGTGTATTGGATTAATCTTGTGATTCAAATATTTCGTTTATTTTGTTGGGCTATTCACAGCTTTAAATTTATGAAATGTAATTCATATTTTCATTAAAAGAAATTGCAAGATTTCATAGTAATGACAATCACAAATTAAACCAAAACCTAACCGCTAATATTTCTGCATATCACAGAGGATGAAACGGATATCCATCAATCTTTCATTTTGGCTATGACCTTTTCCTCCATCCCTTTTGTTTCTTTTTCCATTTTCTATATTTTCATTTCTTAATTTCTCGTTTTGTTACACCATTTTCTTCCTCTAATTCTCCATTCCCGGAAGTTTCTAATCTTTAGTTCATCCATGAATTTATTCTCTTTTTGTAGGATGAGAGAAAGTTAGCAATATCTCACCCTCTTTTGCTTGTTTCAATTTTCCAAATCCTAGGTTAGTCCAGCAATCTTATTTCCATTACATAAATCTTTCATTTATGATATACACATTTGTTGATGACAAGTTCTAATTAGGAAATATGAGGCAATGGACCTGACATGCATATATAACAGGCCTCAAGCATGGATGCCTATTCAAGATCCTTGACAAATTTTCCCTCGACAAATGATGGATTTTTGTGTTTTCTTCTCCTGATTAGGGATTGATTCTTTGTTATTAAGTAATGTCTTCAAAACCTGACGCGAATCTTGACTCCTCAAAGGCAGGTTTTTCATTTTCATTTTGAGGTGTCATATGTGTTCTGTTTACTCTTTAGCAATCTAAGGAGATTGTATGAATTTGTACTAAAATGATCATTTTATGTATGAGACAGTTGAGCAATCTTCGACCGGAAGGAGTACCACCAGACCACAAACGTGGAGATCATCAACCACCAAAACCGAAAGAAAATATACCATCAAACCTGTCACATTTTGATCCGAAAAAGATGGATACTCTCATCAAGCCTGTTTCAAACCCAAACACCAACCAGAGCCCCCTTCCAAGTCCAAAAATTCCATCTAATGCAGAATACCAACATGCCTCCATGAACCCTCTTGTTCATGTACAGGGGACTGGCAATCACAGCCACAATGACAGCTTGGAGACCTGTACTGCTACTTCTGCTCCTCTCAGGCCTCACACTGGAGGTGATGTTCGATGGGAGGCCATTAATATGGTTTGCTCCAAAGGTCCAGTTGGACTAAGCAATTTCAGACTTCTTAAACGCCTTGGCTATGGAGACATTGGAAGCGTCTATCTTGTTAAACTCAGAGGAACTAATGCCTACTTTGCTATGAAAGTTATGGATAAGGCATCCTTGGCAAGTAGAAACAAGCTTTTAAGAGCACAGACAGAAAGAGAGATTCTTAGGCTTCTTGATCACCCATTTTTGCCCACTCTATATTCTTACTTTGAGACTGATAAGTTCTATTGCTTGGTCATGGAGTTCTGTAGTGGAGGCAATCTTCATTCTCTCAGACAGAAACAACCCAACAAGTTCTTTTCTGAGGAAGCCGCAAGGTTAGTACCCTTTTTAGTAAATTGATGAAGTTCTTATTGTTTACATGTTGTGAATGAATCGCATTGGTATCAGATATTGAAGGGTTGGAAATAAAGGTCTTGTATTCAATAATGTGTTGGTTTTAGCAGGTTCTATGCATCAGAGGTGTTATTGGCTCTAGAGTATCTGCACATGCTGGGAATTGTATATAGGGACCTAAAACCAGAAAATGTGCTAGTAAGAGATGAGGGCCATATCATGCTCTCGGATTTTGATTTATCACTTCGTTGCTCAGTTAGTCCAACACTTGTTAAGTCCTCATCCCCACGTCAACAAAGCAATGGTGGTGGCAATGCTGCAACTGGAATTCTGGATGATGAGTTTGTTGTGCATAGCTGTATACAGCCATCAACATTTCTCCCTAAAATTTTGCCTTCCAAAAAAAACCGAAAATCCAAATCAGATTTTTGCCTTGCCGTGGGAGGCTCTATGCCAGAGTTAATGGCAGAGCCTACCAATGTGCGTTCGATGTCATTTGTTGGCACACATGAGTACTTAGCCCCAGAAATCATCCGTGGAGAAGGTCATGGCAGTGCAGTAGACTGGTGGACATTTGGCATCTTCTTGTATGAACTACTTCATGGCACAACACCATTCAAGGGCCAAGGAAACCGAGCTACCCTCTACAATGTTGTAGGACAACCATTGAGATTTCCAGAAACCCCCCAAGTGAGTTTTGTTGCTCGTGATCTCATCCGAGGCCTACTAGTGAAAGAACCACAAAAGAGAATAGCATACCAAAGAGGAGCAACAGAAATAAAGCAACATCCATTTTTTGAGGGAGTGAACTGGGCTCTAGTCAGATGTGCCATGCCTCCACACTTACCTGAACCTGTAGACTTTTCGCATTATGCGAGCAAAGAGGCATCCCCAGCAGCTAAAGAGAAGAGGGTTCCAGACCTTGGAGTTGGTAATAACAGTGGTAATCCTAATGATTCTTCTTACATAGAATTTGAGTACTTCTAACAATGTAAACAATTAAAAGACTGTCATGATAAGGTAGAACTTTTAAGGGTGTAAGAAAAAGATACCATTTTTCCCAGAACATGATCAAATTTTTTCTGGTGAAAAAAGCGATGACTGTTGTACATTTGGGGATGGAAATTTTGTTTCAGGTGAAGAGTTGATCCTTAAGTTTTTTTACATGTATATGCCAATTAATGTCAATCATCTTAGCTGTAATATAGGCACAAGCCTTGTTTTTCCTTTGCTTTTTTTTTTTCAAGGACAATGATTAGTAGATTAGTATTATTAGATGTTAGCAATTGAAGATTCGATGCTCAAATCTAATGAACAGCCCACCGACCTCAATGAAACGCGCGACTATAAGAACATTTGGTGGAGTTCTTCCTTTGCGTTTCATCTCATCTATTTCTGCGGGAATAGAGCTAAAAAAAATTTTAATGCTTGGGTTTTGGAGAGCTGATTTTTCAGCTTGTTTCACAAATACCTTTTTAGAAAAGGAAAAGCAAAATTAGAACGTCCGCTTGTAGATAGATGATGAATGAGATTTAGATACAATAAGCCTCATATTTTAACTTATTTAATAATAATGTTCTCATTTGTTTAGGGCCATTTGATATAATGGTTTTGAGTAGTGATTAGTGGTTTGCTGGTTTTACTTAAATCACT